GGTTTAGATAACAATGTGGAAATGAACATGTTAATGTATTTTAATACAAGTAATAAACAACCTTATAACACCAGATCTGTTATTTTTCTTTAATTATACACTCAACGTTTCGCTTTACAGCTTCTTCAGGAGCATTTAATAAAATCTCTGTACTGTCAGTTACGGTTTGTGTTTCAGTGGAACACCCCTGAAGAAGTTGTAGAGCGAAACTTTGAGTGTCCAACTAAATAAAAATAGCAAACTTAGTGATATAAAGCCGTTTATTTCTAGTCTTAAAAGGTCTTTTATACGGCAATATGCACAACAGAAATCATATAATAAGTTAATGTATTATTTGTTTATATAAGAAGACTGAAATAAACAATTCTAAAATACTTGTTACTCTTACCTTTGTTTAGCGCAAACTGGAGTTTATTACGAGACATTTCTATAAACATAAATAAAATCACGAGCTACATCTCCAGAACGTAACTTTATTGGTTCAACATTTCGCTATCACAGCTTCGTCAGGAGCTATCGATATCCTACAATTCACTAATTCAGTTAAATAATAGCCAGTTTAATGTATTGTTTTGCTCCAATAAATAGATGTAAATTAACAGATTTATTGTATTGTTTTGTGTTTAATGTATTGTTTTGCTCCAATAAATAGATGTAACTCAACAGATTTATTTTATTGTTTTGTGTTTAATGTATTGTTTTGCTCCAATAAATAGATGTAAGTCAACAGATTTATTGTATTGTTTTGTGTTTAATGTATTGTTTGCTCCAATAAATAGATGTAAATCAACAGATTTATTTTATTGTTTTGTGTTTAATGTATTGTTTTGCTCCAATAAATAGATATAAGTCAACAGATTTATTGTATTGTTTTGTTTAGATGATAATAAGATTAAACTGAACAAAACCAAAGTATTGTTTCGTTGAAAAAGAAAGTGCAAATGAGCAACGTTAAAACATTGTTTTGTTTAAATAAGTGTAACCACGTTTCAGTTGCTGGATCACTTGAATGTTTAGTTGTAAATCTTAATACAATATTGTTACATTGTGGGCTTTACTATGAGTTTGTTTTACAGCCAAATGTATTACCGTTAAGATCACAACAGTTTCCTTTATTCACGCCACCTGGTAAGCCAGACTCTCTCTGTCTGTTTGTCTCTTGCTGCTTTTAAATCTATAAATTGGACTAGTTTGTAAAACGTTGAAAATTAGAGATAAGATTATTATCCCATCTTACTTCATAATTGTCTGAAAAGAACATAAAGCATAAGAACTTCCACGAATTTTAAATTTCAATAACTTACCTACTTGACAACAAAAAACAGTTCGTTTCAAGAAAAAAATAGATGATGTATTAAATAATGAAACAAATAAAAATTCTAGTTTTCCGTAAGAAAATCAAAAATGAGAGGTTTATGTACAAAATGAACTTAATAGTTTCCTTAATGTGAAAGACTGGTACTGTGTAAACGTTAGAGAAGAGTGAATATCTTCAAAACGTATAATGTATAAATGTGTGAAGCAATTATTAGTGAATTAGAATTTTGGACATCTTATTATGTAAACAAAAAGTAAAAATACATGCAGAAAGTCAAAAACACGTAATTGAGGTATAGTAAAAACACACGTGGAAGGTCACCAACACGTAATGGAGGTAAAGTAAAAACACACGTGGAAAGTCAACAACACGTAATTGAGGTAAAGTAAAAACACACGTGGAAAGTCAACAACACGTAATTGAGGTAAAGTAAAAACACACATGGAAGGTCAACAACACGTAATTGAGGTAAAGTAAAAACACACGTGGAAAGTCAACAACACGTAATTGAGGGAAAGTAAAAACACACGTGGAAAGTCAACAACACGTAATTAAGGTAAAGTAAAAACACACGTGGAAAGTCAAAAACACGTAATTGAGGTAAAGTAAAAACACACGTGGAAAGTCAACAACACGTAATTGAGGTAAAGTAAAAACACACATGGAAAGTCAACAACACGTAATTGAGGTATATTTGTTACCTCTGCAAAATAAAGTTTTCCTGACGAAGTTCTGGTACATAATAGAATATGGTTAGTAAAGAGAAAGCACTGTTGTACACTTTCTCTCACACGGGTGCGCTGCAGTCGGGATTTGTCACCACCAACAACGCGAATAACACTTCCTGTAGAGAAATATTAATAAACTTTATATATGTCGATCCAAGAACATTTGAAGTGTATTTATCATCAAAAGACATGGTGGTTTTATTATTTTTAACAACCTTTAAAATGTATAATACCTAGTGGGGGAGGGGGAGAGTAAAAAGGGATTTCAAAACGAACCTAGAGGTTATGTTGTGTTATAATTTAATTTTTTAAACATGTACCATTTGTTTAGATATTATCACTGTTTTAACCCGGTCCTGGTTACTATGGTAATGACATCTATCTTGTAAAGATAAACCTGGTTATCACAGCATTTTCTCACAATACTTAATGAAAACCAGGTCCACAACAATTTCTTGGTTGCTATAGTAATGACACCTACTTTATAAAGATAAAACTGGTTATCACAGCATTTTCTCACAATACTTAATGAAAACCAGGTCCACAACAATTTCCTGGTTGCTATAGTAATGACTCCTACTTTATAAAGATAAAACTGGTTATCACAGCATTTTCTCACAATACTTAATGAAAACCAGGTCCAAATCAACATTTTAATCACTACTCGGGTAAAGACAGCTACCTTGAAAAGATAAATCGAGTCCACTATTTTATATAAATATTTATTTTTATGTTAATAAGCTGACTTGCATTGCTACGATACTTATTCTTACCTTGTCTGATAAACACCTGGTTGACGTCCAAAAGTATATCACAACCTCCAGCAATCATCCTTTCAATTGCCAAGTTTTTTCGAATGTTTTCTGTTTCACTAACCTCATCGTGCATTTGCTATAAAAGATAATAAATTTTTTAAGGCATTTAATACACTCTGTCGCAATCAAAACTTTGTTTTGCTGGACTGTATTTAATCTAATTGTGTTTAAATTAAAATCAAGTCAGTTAAACGGCTTTAACACTGACTGAGTAACGAAGATGATAATGTACACTGTCAGAAGTGAAACAACGTCTCAATAAAAGTGACCATCAGATACCAAGAGCTCTGATAGATCAATGATGACAAACGTTAGCAGCATGGTAAACAGCCAGGCAGAAACAACTCACTAACAGTGACCATCAGAGCCGAAGAACTCTGATAGCTCAGTAATGACAAACGTTAGCAGCAGGGCATAACAGCCAGGCAAACACAACAACTTATTAACAGTGACCATCAGAGCCGATGAGCTCTGAAAGTTCAGTAATGACAAACGTTAGCAGCAGGGTAAAACAGCCAGGCAGAAACTATAACTCAATAAAAGTGACCATCAGAGCCGAAGAGCTCTGATAGAGCAATGATGACAAACGTTAGCAGCAGGGTATAACAGCCCAGAAGAAACTATAACTCAATAAAAGTGACCATCAGAGCCGAAGAGCTCTGACAGCTCAGTAATGACAAACGTTAGCAGCAGGGTATAACAGCCCAGAAGAAACTATAACGCGATAAGAGTGACCATCAGAGCCAAAAAAGAATGACCAGATAATAAGGATGAAGATGATAAGAAATTTCAATCACATTGACTGACCAGTAAAGAAGACAATAAGAAAGATTTTTCAATACATTTAATAAACTAGATTAACAACATACAAGGTACTGAAAGAATTAAGACTATCAAATGACCAGAGATTTGAAGCTGAGTAATATATAACGGATCAAAGTGGATAGATAAAAAATACTTAGATCTCGCTATCCTTTAGTGAAGAATGAATAGCTTTAGTGGAATAACAAGTATTGCAACCCTAGTAACACCTCTATCTAACGGGCCAGATGTTTTAATATAAATAACTATAGTAGGTCAAGAATTAGCCACCAATTAAAAGGAAGGATCAAAATTTGTTTTTGAACAGAGAAATATCATGTTTGGTTTAACTGAAGGAAGTTAATTATAATACAATTTTATAATTTCAAAGAACCCTACCCTCGAAAGTTCTTCCAACTTAGCACGTGCTATCTCCAGACTCTTCCTTTCGACGTGGCTGTGGGGAGTATGGGCCAAAAGCTCGTGCAAGGTAATGATATAGCGTGGAACCTACAGGGACACGTGAAGTAGACACGTCTTAATTAGATAGTAATTTCGCCCTAACCAGGACTTCAACATAAAACCCTAACAGTTACATGTCATCGAAAGATAATTGGTTTAAAATGTTCCCAGATTATTTCGAACTTTAATTATTTTGCTTCTTAGAAAAATTACATCAATAATCTTTAAAAATCAAATTATAAATAATTTGTAAAGTTTCTGTGGTGTTGAAACACCGATATCATTATCGAAATATTCTGTTAAAGCATTGCTTTGATTAAGCATCTGTAAAATCTTTAAATAATAATATAAAATTATATTACATTTCTAATTACACGTACACGCTCTTTAGAAGCTTTTCCCATTAAAATATCAAAAGTTTTATTTGCAAATGCTAACGCTTTGATTACTGAGATGGTGTAAACATTTGATTATGACCAATGAGGTTCTATTTTTTTCTTTGAAAATGCGCCACTACTTCGCAAACTTCTGCGATGCCCTAGTGTTTGTTTTTTAACTGATGTTTCTTTAAAAATAAAATAATTAAAAATCACTAATGTAACTTAAAACCGATAATTATAGTTGAAGAACTTCCAGTGGGGTAGAATAGCTAAGTACTAGAAAAGAAATAGAAATTATTGATTTCTTAATAGATCCAGTTGTCATGTCTATCATCTATGTTTAACAACATAATGTAAGGCAAATGCACATTGGATGATTGCTAAAAAACGGAATTTAAGTTAGTTCATATATTCATATTTCATTACACAATATTAGAAACATTCACCCTGAATTTGTGAACACGGGTGAGTCCAGGTGATTCAACGGACCTGGTTATTTAAATCCGTTCAATTTCTACCTACACGTGCATGTGATATCACAAACAGACATTGGCAGCTAGGCTCTACTTTTCAATGGAAGCTCCGCTATTACAGTTCTCTCGAGAATATTTCAAATATTTTAACGTTTTGCTCTGTTCATTTTACCATATTACGTCACACTTACTTTCTCATCGGAATGATACAATAAGAAGGAGTTACCGGTTTTTCTCGTCGACGTAGAACGCATTTTGGTGCTTCGTTTTATGATACCTGGAAACAGAGACATAGCACTATATATATATTATAAAACACGTTACCTGATGCATTGGATAAGTAAGAAAGGCCTCTAACGTACGCCCCTGTAAAACTGGTTTTTCCTCGAGACGACGTAGCATTGCGTTGAATTTCTTTCTCTGCTTGCACTCGGCTAAGACTTGAATACTGTAATGATGGTTTCGGACGTACTCTTGGTAGATCGTCAACATTGGCAGTAACATATCAAACAGATCACCTGTAAAATGTTTAAAATAGCGCCACTGGAATACTTTATATAAGTCAAGAAAATATATGGAACACCTATTTTAAGAAAATAATATGAAAACATGTTTAACAAAATTAGAATAACATTAACAGATTGTCTAAACTTTATTTTTCAGATAAATAATTTAATTTTTTTAAGTATTTTATTTTCATCGTTTTACTTGTTAAAGAATGCAACAAAAGAAATATGTAGTCTTATCTTAATTCCTCCATAGATGGCGCCCCAACAAGACAATTGGAAAAAATACTTTTTAGGTCCAGAGGTGACGAGTAGTAAGTATGCCCTATTATAAATCCGGTTCGTGTTTTTTTTGCCGTAAGATCACGCTCCGCACTACAGGACCGTGGGAGCGTTATATAAGTGTGACAGAAATATTACAATATTTTATTAGAATAATCCAAGAGTTGGCGGTGGGTGATGTTGACTAGCTGCCTACATTCTAGTATATCAGTTCAAAATTATGGACGGCTGTGTACAGATAATCATTATATGAAATTTATATGTAAGAAAGAGAGCACGGAAGCCTATTTAGTTCTATTTTTAAAAAATGTTAGTTGAGCTATAGTTGTAGCACCTAAACCCGTTTGACAGCAGTTCTATGTAGACTAAAGACGAGCATGGTTTAGAAATACCTATTTTTCTGAAAAACAAAACCTCGTGATTCAAAGAATTTTATTCCTTAACGTAAGTCGTTGAGTTACTGCGTGCTAAGGGACTTGGCTCGTTTATAATTAAAAGCTAGGTTCTACTAATGAAAGTTCAACGATTACGGTTAGACCAAACACTTAGCAAAATATCTCGCATTGAAGTACTCTTCAAAAAATCGTACGTAATTTTTTAAAGCTTATTGAGTGGTGTTTAGATTGCGGGTTCGAATCTCGTCATCGAACATGTTCGCTCTTTCAGTCGTTATAATATGACAGTCATCTTGTTCTAGCTGCTTTCCCCTTAGTCTATCACCTCAAACTTAGGAATGGTTTGCGCGATAGCCTACGAGTAGCTTTGCGTGAAATTCAAAAACAAACACGCCTATCGAATGCTAAGACAATAAGTTTTTTACTAACTTAATTGTTAACTAATTAACTTTTATTCCCTTATTTGAACTTCCAGATATCACACTAGTGTATAAAACTCAAATTAATTTATTATATCAAATATTACAAAATAGAAATAAAAAATACTTATCTAAAACTAACGTTGACCAACTTTCCATTCTCGATGTGAGGCCTTTAAAAAATACTTACCTAAAACTAACG